TGATTTTGTCAATGCCAATAGTGTTCAAGTGTTGTTTTGCAATTGCATCCAAGGCTCCTATTACTATTGGTATTACCTTTGCTTTCTTTTTCCAATCATTCTATTTTGCAGGTCTTTGCTATCTTCTTCAGTTCTTTCTCTTCTATTCTGCTGTCTCCAGGTACTGCCATGTCCACTATTTAAAGTTTTTTTTAATCTTTATTGACAGTTGATTAAGTTTGGGGTGTTGTTATGGCAAGTGCACTTTAGCTTCATTTTCTATTACTTTTTCTTATTTTATGGCCCCACTAGTTCTTGCTTGCAGGCAAATAATATAAATAGTATTTTTTGCAGATATTTCAATGCACCATTGTTGCTGCTTTCTCATGTCATTGCTTGTAGTCAGTCTGTGCAATCTTCTTGTGGCAGCTAACCAGGTGTAATTATTATTAGAATTTATATTGCTCTATTGCTGATTTTATAGGATCAGCAGAAATAATTGGAGAAGACTATACAGTAGATATACACTGCTTTATGACCACAAATATGAGTCCAGGATTACTCTGATGAGCGGCCAATAAATTTAATAAAAAATAAATCTTGAATTACATCTGGAAGCCAACTAGTAATAAGTGCGTCTGACAAAGTATAAGTGTAATATATAAGTGAAAGACTACCCTAGTTTTTTGATCCTGGAGAATTGTAAATATGTGAACAAAATCAGAAGCAAAAGCCTGAAATCAAGCCTACTGCACTATATTGGGGGGTGGGGGGAGACCAAAATTAACCTTTTATTTCATTATAAATAGGAATTATTACTGGACCAAGTCAATGGAATTCTCTCATAATAGTTTCATTAGTTTTTCTACAATCATTCTATTTATCATGGTAGTAAGATTCCAATTCCCCTAGAGAAAGTAGATTATCTGCATTCTTTTTAAATCAGGTTTCAAACCAGGGTATCAGTTTGTGCTAGTTGGTGACTTATATGGGTTCTAGATGTGAGGAAGGCTCCCTTCCTGATCTTTTTCAATTTCTTAGGATCATGAATTCCATTGATCACAAGATCCTTCTGGACTACCTGCAAAAAATTTAATTTCACTTCTGCTTCTTCTAAAATGTAGAGCTTCAGTTGGCAGAGAAGCAGGAAGAGGTCCGATCAGACATAGTTCAGCTTTTCTCTCTCGTCTAATTGTTAACATTTGCATGATACCACTGGGAAATGTCTTAATATGCAAATTATATTCAGTTATAAATCTCTATTAGAAAGTCTTGGCCCAGTGTGTGTGGGGTTGTCAGGATTTTTCCTGGGAAAAAGTTGAATCATAGTAAGACTGAATTACGTACTTCAACTTATATATAACATAAAGAAGAGAGCATTGTTTTGAGTTTCTTCTCATACTTTCTACTTCCCAGGACTCAATTATTTTTCTGTAATGGCTTGGTGTTCTCCTTTCACCACTGAATAAAACCAATAGTATTCTTTCCTGAAGAAAGAAATGCTGACAACAATGATTCTCACTTACAGCGCAGGCTACATGGGATTGGCTTTGAAGAATACCTGAAAGATGCAATTTATGCAGAATACCACAGGGCCCGTCATTTGGAAGAGGTACTTCTCACATATAATTCCAATTTTGCAGGCTCCCGATAGTAATTACCAATAGGCTCCCAGGGACAATTCAAAGTGCTGTTTTTCACTGATAAAACTCTATAAGCTTTGGTGCCCAGGGATTTGTAGCAAAATCTACCTATCTCCAGTTAGCATGGCTGATGTGGGAATGCTGAGTAACTCAAGAGAATATTGGGGGAAAATCCAAAAGTCAATGCTTCCCAGCGACAGTTCCTCACCTGCTGATAGTATTCCTGTGGAAATCCACATGGCACTCTCCCTCTTTATATTTAGAAAGGTGATTTAGACCAGCGGTCGCCAACCGGTGGGCCGCGAGAAAATTTTGGTGGGCTGCAAAGAAATCTCACCCCCAGAGTACCCCCCCAAAGCAATTAATCCAGGCTGCGCCATCCACCTGCCCCCAGGAACGCTCCCCGCCCATTCACTCCTTACCCAGCAAACTTGCCTGCTAAATTGCTATTTTTCCTTTTTCCGACCATCATCAGTTCTGCTGTGCCGAGAGATTTAGATTAGCTAGGAAGCAGGAAATGGTTGGATTTCTTGCTTTCTAGCTAGTCTTTAGATGTTCGCCTCTACTTTTAAGCACAGCTGAAGCTCCCTTAGGACTAAAGTTTCTGTTATTCAGTGCAGACTCACAGCAAGCAAATTTGAGAGACTGAGCTAGCCGATGGCAGATAGATAGATCACTGAATGAATCTGACTCTGTGAGCAACTCAATCTGCCTGCTTGCTTTGCCTGATTTTGGGTAAAAATTGCTCTTTTCTTATAAAAAAATTCAATATTTATATAAATATTTATAATATTTACATACAAGCCATGCCCAGCCAGTCATATGATGATCAAGCCATACCCACAAATTAGGCCATGCCCACAGAACCGATTAGTGGTCCCTGGGATTTAAAATTATGAGTTTGGTGGTCCCTGAGGTCCAAAAAGTTGGCGCCCCGATTTAGACAAGCCTGTAATGTGTGAGATCTTACCACTTGAGAAACATCTATAATTATAATTAAAAAAATACGATATATGATTTTATAGTGGTTGTGTTAGAGTTTATCTTGTAAATCCCTAGGTACCTTTTGAAAACATGTCAGTATAAAAATACACATATAGACATATTTTCTTTCTCCTATGCAGAGGCTATCCTAGGATATATTAGGTCTGTCTGTCTGTCTGTCTGTCTATCTACCTATCTATCTATCTAATTTGAAGACCACTGACCTCACTCAGAGTGAGTTGACCATATATTGCTAATTCATTCTAGATAGCAATAATTTTTTAAATAATTGATACAGAATTATAATACCATCTTACTGATTTTATTTAGAAGTAACAACTGATTCAATCTGTTTTCAGAGAACTGTATGTTGATTTTGTGCTATTTTTGAAATAAATCAAAATTGAGTAAAGACTTTGATAGAATAGACAAAATGGCTGTTATATTTCAGAGCTGCAGGAGCAATAATTTTATTGTTATCTAAGGGGCAGGATTAATTTGGCACTACACATACCACTAACAATTTTGATTTTGATACCATGTTTGAACTGTAGACCTGGTTAAAATACCATTATAAAATGTTGCTCTTACTTGATTTTGTAACATTTTGTGGTAAAGAATACTGGAGAACTGTAACATTTTCTCATTTAATATTTTGTTTGTTCCATTAAAGATATTCCATTATGTGTTTTAAGGGACTAATAAAGCTGTAACTCATTTTATAATTCTTGAAATGATTACATTATGAAAGTATATTTCTCTGCTCAATTTCATGAATTATCCCAATAAATTTGCACTATCTTAATTAGGATAGATGTCTAAAGGTTAGTCCAAAGTTATTATTTTTGATTAAAATTTTATTTGTCTCCCCACTTCTTTTTTTAATAACATGAAAATGTTTAATAACATTTGTAGCATACAAACAAAAGTTAATTGTTTAGATTTGTGCCTCTGCAAAATATTTTCCCAGCATAGACTCATGCATCTACTTTGTGGGAGGAGATACAAGTCTCTGATAGTGGATTAATTGTAGTTAATTTTGAGCAGAGATCTTTCTTACACAAGTATTTCAATATATTTTCAACACATTCTCATTGTATAGCTTTACTATGGAAATTCTTAACAAGATATTGCATGCTTACTTTTCCATTTTATAGACTTTTAGTGTTAGTATGAGTATTTGGCAGCTTCATGTTCCATCTTGTGCTGCATAAGGTGATTCTGTCTCATGGTACTGAAGAATTCCCCTGCCTATAATGATATTTTACAAATTACGTAGACTCAGTGATTGGATATTTATGACTAAAAAGACACAAATAATGCATACAGGCTGGAATCTTAAATACACTTATTAAGGAATGAGCACCATTTCCAGCTACAGGACTGTTCTCCAAGTAAACATAAAATGTATTGCAGAACCAAAGGATACATAATGGGACTTTTTGTGACAATTTAAAATCTGAGCAAGATTATAAACTACAGCACTATTTATTTACTGCTAGTGGAATTGTATGGCTTTGATAGTATCATTGGTATGATTGTCTGGTTAATCTGGTTAAAAGAAGGAATAACTCTTAAACAGACTTTTCAATTAAGGAGTTTATTTTTTATTACCACCTCATATTCTTCAGAGCAAAAGAGCAGCTTGTGTCTTACAAAATATAAAACTATATTCACCATAAACTAATATCCTAAAAGCAGCAGTAAAAACTTTTTTTTATAAAAACCCTGGGAAGCAAAATTAACCAGAAAAAATATTTTGATTTAAAGGAAAAAAGAAATTCTTAAAATTTAAGCTTCCTTAAATTTTGTCCTGCTTTCGGTGACATATGCAGTCTGACTCAATGTTTCTTTACTCAGAAGTCTCTAGGAAGTTTTATATACAAATGCTCTTCCATCAGTTAATACGTTTCCCTTGGGCTCTTTATTAGAAATAATTATTTCTCAAACAAACACATCTTACTTTCCGCATCCACTGTGACTGAATTTCAGAAAACCCCATCAACAATCGTGATTTTGGGAATTCTCACAGTAAATTTTAACCAGCCGCCATAGCTTCTTTCAGAAACAGATCTCTTGGGCATTATGTTACCCTTACACATGCATTCCTTGTTTTCTTGTGTTGGCTTTCTAAAAAGAATAACGTAACTACTCTCTGCCGATTATTTTCTTGCTTGCTTGTTTCAAGCCCTCGCATGTGCCAGCCGGGGCCATCTACAGCGCACCTCGGTGGAGACCGCACGAGCTGGAACAACCAACAAGCTGGGACGAGCTCCTAGTGTCTGTCAGACAGTTCGAATGCCCTATCAGCGAAGGAAATGGGCGGACCTAGCGAGCGGAAATCCAATAGCAGCAGACCCCCTGTACCTGTACGGTTATAAAAACTCTGCGTGGCTTCCCTCACTTCGCTTCCACAGTATGGCCGGCGACATTAGCTAGCGCTCGCTCAATGCTTTTCTCTGTAACGGGAACACACGGAATACAAGGAACCGAACCGCACCGCATCGCCTGCACGCTTGCCTACTCCGCACTTCTTGCCTTCCATTTCCCTCCTTCCCCTACCCCAAAGGATCTTACCAACCCGCCACCCTTTTCTGCAACCGCTCACTGAAATATTTTATATATGAGCGCGCCCGCACACACACACACACGTATTTTATCTTATAACTTAATATAAGATTACTGCCCCATCCAAGGTAAAACCTGCTTGGGACGGGCTGGGACCCCACGAAGGCGCCGCGGCCCTGCCTAGAAGCAACAGTCCTATCAGCTGTAGCTGGTGTAGGTGAGGAGGGCGGCGGCGACAGCAGCAGATTTTGGTTGGGGGGGTGTCTGTCATTTTAATTTCTGTGGTTGGTTTTGCGGAGTTGTCTCACCATGATGGAGGAGAACGGTGCACACTTCTTCGAAGGGACTGAGAAGCTACTGGAGGTGTGGTTCGCCTGGCAACAGCCCTCGCCGCAGGAGCCGCACCAGAGTAATGGCTCCGGCGACCTCCGCACCATTCCCAGGTGAGTTAGGAGCCGGCAGGAGAGCCGGTGGGAAACGGGAGGGTTGGAAGAACATGGAGGGGGTGCTGGCCGAGTGCTGGAATATGCCCGGCCGGTGGCGCGCATGCCCTGGTGAAGAGAGGCCGTCACGCCGTACCGCTGGGCGGGAAGCGAGCGAAGCTAATGGCCGGGGAAGGGGGGCGGGCATGGCGGCTGCTCCATTCAGGACGGCGTTATGTTGCGCGAGGCGAGGGAGGGTCGGGGCCCGCCTGCTCCGAAGGGAGGGGAGGGACTTTCACCGGGACGGCCTTGCGGGGGGGGGGGGGGGGGAGCAAGCCGGCCCCTTCAAGTAACGGCTGCTAACGTTCCCCTGGCGCATGCAGGCTCGGCCTCCGCGTGCGGCGGCGGCTGACTGCAGGCCTTTTTAAGTTCCCCCGTAGGCCGGGCTCTCTGAGGGAAACTTACAGAAGAGGAGTTAACATCGGGAAGGGCGGAGTTGTGACCTTGCTAGGGCGGGACGTGACCCTTTCGTGCCTGTCCTTTTAAATTAAAGAGGAGGCCTCGGCGATTGCCGATTCCTACCCCCGAAGTATATTTATTTCCGATGCACGGCGGGCTTTCACGAGTGGGTCACCTTATTTGGCTTTGCGGTCCTTAACAACGGAGTGTGAACGGAAGTCCCGTCTTATGCAGAAGGAGGTGTTTGATCCCGTAGGAAGGTCGAAGGCCACCGGGATTCTCGCAGTGTTTGATATGAACCGAATGGGGAGACGGCTTGTACATTCCTTGTTGGTAGGACTCGACGAACCCCTACCACGTTGGCCATCACAAGTGGGCGGACAGGGCACCCACGGACATCTCTGCACCAGCAGCATGTTCTTGAAATGTGGATTGGGTCCTTGGCCTGTAGACTTGTAAAGGGACTGGACTACTCGTGCGTTTTCTCTGAAACTGTATGCAGCTTAGTTATCTGATTCTTGACCACAAACCTTTTGTCATAAGTGTCGAGGAAGCGGAGGAGTTTCTTCTGCTTTTTCTAATCTCTTCCAAGTACAGGAAAAAAAAAGTAGGCTGTTGAGGAAGCTGCCAAGGATGTTTTTGTATTTATTGTAATTTATGTTTTATTGCTTTGCTTTGCCTCTTATAGGATAAGCAAGAGCATGCCTGTAGGCAGTGGGAGGTTTTATGTATGCATTTGCCCTTCTGGAATTCAGGCAATGCAGTGGGATTGATAGAAACCCCTCCTGTGTTTAACTCTGTTTGCAACCTTTTTTTTAAAAAAAAACAACAACAACAGGGTTCAGTCTCAAACTCCAGATGAAAAAGCCTCTCCTCCATTAATAAGATCAAGCATTACTTTTTAGTGTTACTTTAAGGGCTGGGTCTGGGACTGTCATCTAGTGGGCATTTCAGGAATGTGGAGGAGGCGCCAACTCCTCAACAGTCATGGGGGAAGGGTTGCATTCTCTACAACCCTAAATGCACACTAATAGTACGAGTATTTTACTTGCGCTGCACGTACAAAATAATAGTTTGAATCTGCTTCAATAGAATTTAGACATTTGAAAATTACAATGCCTAGTCTATGTGTGTGTTTGAATGAGCTACATTTAGCAGAGAATAATTAAAGGTATATGGAATAATGTACCCTTTGTGTGTATGTTTATTCTCATTCTCCCCCAATAATGTACTGCTAATGTGCTAAGAACATCAAAGAAATAATAGACAGCTTGGATAGGAAGAGTATCTCTTCTCAGCTTTATGTAACTATGCATTTGTAATTTTTATTAGCAAAGAGTAGTGAACTGCAGAAGTTATTCTGCCAATAAATTATGTGGAGTGCTCTCGCAATAATTAGTGCACTTTAACTTCAGCTTTTTTCTGAAAACAAAATGTCATTTTAGAAGGCCATGTCAAATTTCATTAGATAAGAGTTGCATTATGAACTAATTTGCCTACTGTGCAAAAATATAATCAGTAATAATTGGGTTTGTATATTTCTGACTTCAAACTACATTATGCCTATGTATACCAAATATGTAGTAGCATAATTGAGTTTTACATGACAGTTCTGTATTGTTTGAATTAATCTATTTCAGATTTAATGATTTTGTAATATATTTTGTGCAGATCAATTCTTAACTGAATCAGTTGTTTCACCTGATATGACAAACTGGTTTGTGATTTGTACTGTTCATTTTGTAATGCCAAATCTATAAATAGCAAAATATAAGAAACTGCCTAGACTGAATGTCCAATTATTTTTATATTCTCTTTCCTACACAATATTCATATCATGGTACAAGTGCTTTTCCCTTGTCCAAATTTGTCCTTGAAATTATTTTTTTATGTGGTCAGCTAGGCTGAGGAATTACTGAAGCATATCACCTATGATCTTGACCAAACAGCAAGGAATGTTAAATACCAGTGTGCCATTCAATTGTTCTGGTAAATGTTTAATTATTAAATGTTATTCTGAATTTATCCATGTATTTTTCTATAGATGGCAACTGTGTGTTTCCCTAGAAACAATCATTCATGAAGTATGTCAGCACCTACTTTGATACTTTCAATAATACCCCAAATGCTACTATAGGAATTACTTAAATTTATGATGGGTCATAGACCCAAGTGACATAAAAGAAATTATATAATGTAAAATAAACTATAGCATATACAGTAAAAATCTGTACTCGTGTTTAGACTACTGTCATCAATACATGAATTCTATCTGCTACTTTTTGACAGCAAGAGTTTCCCTGGAATCTATTATATGCCAAAAGACACTGTACATAGAATTTGTTTGTCCAACCTGAAAGTAGAAGGTGTTTTAATTAGCTCATTATAAATGTCTTAGTAAAATTACAGTAAAACAGAGCATGACTCTGTAATTCAATATTCCCATCTTTATAAGGACAAAGCTTTCCATCGTGTGGGGTTTTGCCATATTTACTCTCCCAACTTTGCAGATATTACTGTGGTAGTGTGAAGGCCTTCTGAAACACATTTATAAGTTGATCCAAACATAATGCTAGCGAGAAATAAAATTCCCTGTGACCCAGTCAAGCTCTGATCATGTTAACTAGTTGACTAATAAAATGTCTGCAAGCAAATAACCAAGCTCAGAGATCACAAAGAACTCCATATCGAATATCTTTTCTTTGAACACATCGATTGCCTGAACTTTCCTGGATATCCTCACCTCTCTTGAACTAAGAAAATTTTACTTTGTATAAATCACACAAAATATGGCTACTCTTCATAAATTGATTTACTACATTCAGTATTATAGTATTTGTATTTGCTTCCAAATTTGTGTGGGCTTATAAAACAAAGGAAAGAAAAACATGACATCCAATAAGTCAAGATAAAAATAAGGTAAATATGAAACTGAGTAGAACATTTTTGCTTTCACTATTCTGAATCCATGAAGGAGGAAGCCATTTTGATCTCCATTGGGAGATTGTTCCACAGGACTGGCACTACTAAATAGCAACACCTTTCATTTTAGTTCCCTTCTGCAAGGGGAATGGGGAATAAGAGCAGTTTTCCCTTTATAATCTTACCAGATGGGTCTGTTCGGGTTAAAGTAAGCAGATACCTAAATGCCAATCCATAAAAAGATTTGCAGGTCAAAGTCAACATTTTAAATTGTATCTAGAAATCAATTGGTAGCTGGCCAAAAGTTCTTGGCACATGCAGATGTGACATGCTGAAATTGTTCTGAAGTGTTTCTGATATGTACATGACAAGAAATATGTCAAAACAAAAATGTTATATACTACTCAGTCCTTTTAAAGATAGGCTGCAACCATATAATCGTTTCCACTGAACATAAGAATAACAAGCACCCTTGTCATAGTGCTATGAACAGATGTCCTAACTTTCAGAGATGCATGATAGATATATCCAATCTTGGTTAGACATAATGTATACATTTTCCTTTACATTCTCTTCTAGAGTTAGAATCTACGGCCCTCCAGGATGGCAAGTGATGAATATTGCTGGAATTTGTTAATTTGGCAGCAATGAAATGGCTATGATTTCATATTGCTGGGCAGTTTGACACTAATCCAGTAGTTTTCCGCATAATACATTGTGCCCTTATTTTTTTAAGAACCTGGTATGGATTGTAAATTGCTTAATTTGAGAAATTAGGTGTTATCTCTATTGTTTCCCGAGGAAATTTAAGAAGCGTGAATGATATCTCCTTGTTTTGCAAGGCGCAACTGCCAAAGCAAGAATGTGCTTTAGCAGTCAGTTTTGAAAACACACAGCTCTCCTGTAAGATTATAATGACTGAAGCTATTGAGTCAGCCAAATTATCTACACCTTTAAATAGTACTGTAGTGCCTGCCAAGAAAATATAGATAGGGTTGTAATTTCCTATGAGTTGGTCATTATTTAGAGGAGGAGCATAAGGGTGTGCAAAATATTTCATGCACAGACCAAATCCAAATAATGAAAGTATTCTGTGATTCAGTTCAGCCAGACTATGACCCACCTTGAAGAGTCAGATGAACATTAAGCCATAACGTGTTTGGTATATTAAACAAAACCCATTTTCTAGTTTTTGCACACCTCTAGAAGAGTAAGGTGAGCTTACTTAACACAGGGAGGAAATATACAGACCTTTGCAACAATATGTGGCCTTTTGTGTAAGAGAACTTTGTTGCTTTTCTGTGTACAACCACTAGGAAGTAGAGTTGTTCTGTACAGTTTAATCCTATAAAATCAGTCAAAGGATTAGTATTCTGTCTGACAACTTAGTTTATCTTCAGTTCTATCTTAAGACAATGACAGGTATTTGGCTAACTGAAGTTTAACAGGCTTGGCATATGTGCATGGAATGGTTCTAGGGGTTTGAAAGTATTCACGAGAATTACATAGGGTTTTTTTCACCTAATTCTGAGGAAATAAGAATTATTCCAGGTTATCTGGGATACATATTTTTATTTATATCCCTTTATTAATTTTATAAATAACTGAAGGCAGCAAGTTGTTTTTATAAATAACTCAAGTAGTACCTAATACCCTTTCCTCTTCCTATTTCCCTCACAACAGCAATCCTATTAGGTGGATTGGCAGAGAAAGAGTGACTGGTCCAGATAGTTTGAGCAATATGATCTAACTAGTGCAATGTCATAATATTATTGATAAAATATTCAAAATTTAAGTAATATGTGTTTATCTGAATACTGTAATGTCTTTATATTTTGTAGTCTATAACACAGGTTTCAAACGCTCTGCATCATGTGACATTTGTGATGCATCTGGCTTGTGGGCCACTAGTTTAACTGCCCTGGTCTACACTATATAAGTTTTAAATTTAAATAAACTTAAATAAATTTAAATAAATCATTTTTCTCCTTTGATGTCACGAACTACGGTGGTGACATCAAACTTTATAACAGTTTAGATTTATTACCAGTGCCTAAAGCTTTGACACTTGTATACTAGTATCAAGGGGCATTGGACAGGGTCAAAATTAGGCATTAAATTTGGGTTAAAGGAAATATGCAGTATTTCACAATTTCACAAGAATAAAATGGTTTCCAAGAAGTTGGTAATATAAATTGCCAAGAATCTATAAAATTCAAGTTAGTTTACAAATTCAAATAGTAATTTCTGACTTTCCACATGTTGTCATTGTTGGTATATTTTTATGTTATTTTTAAACATAAATTTTTAAATAAGTAATGAGGTTGATAATTATATTATTTAATTAAGCTACATTATAGATATTGTACAAAAGTTTGCACATTCAGTTAAGTTTCCTTTTTTGATATTGAAATGTAGTACAGCATGCCCTCTTATTTAAAAAAATGATGAAATTCACTTAATACCTTATTGTATTCCTTTTGGCAGGTTTGAGTGGGACAAACTTCTGGAGAATGTGCATTGTTTGATCATAAGTGTGACAAAAACTGACAAGCAGGAAGCTTATGTACTCAGGTAAGTAAATACAATTCCTGTACACAATGCATAGTCTTGTTTTTAATGTATTACACTTTTACATAAATATTAATTTACTTGCTACAAAAGTATAAAGTGATGTGCAATGTACAGGTAGTCTTCAATTTAACAACATTCATTTAGTGACTGCTTGAAGTTACAATGGCCCTGAGGAAATACCAGTTGCTCAGTTAGCCTTCCTGACTAACTGGCTAGGATGTCATTGATCCCATTATGTTAATTAATACTTCCATGTTGATGGGAAGTGTTCCCCTGCCTCAAGTAGGTAGTTGAAAACATTATTGAAGAGATCATAGCATGGTATGCTATGCAGTTTTAAGGAAACTAATTTTTTCAGTTTATGGAGAAAGTGGCTGAAAAAGAGTAACGCTGCAGCTTCTGACACATCTGGTTAATACTGTCCACACCCATTTTTAAACAGCTTTTGGCAAGGATATACAGAGGTTAAGATGGTTGTCTTAAGGATAACTCATGGTGGAAATTGATATAGGCTTTTGTTCTGGAGAAATATGGCCTGAGTATTTTACCTAGATTTCTGTGCAACTTCTAGTAACATTTAACACTGACTTTATCTGAACTTTCTGATTGTAATGTGTCTTGGGGATCCCCTAGCCCTTATGTTCAGAAAATGTCAAAAAATGTGGTGCTGCGGAACTACTAACCACTGTACAATGTCCCATAGGTTTTCATTTTGTCCCACAAAATCTAGATGATAATTGAGGTAGGTGGGACTCCGATTTAAAGTGGGACTGTTGACTTTATCATCCATTTCTAAAGAACAATACTATTGAACCCTGAATGAATTCAATAGTGATCTAGATGAGGAACAATACAGTGTTGAATTATTGGATTCAATTTTCTGGTCCTTGAGGACTGAGGTTCAAACTGTTCTGGAAAAGTTTGGTGACAGTGAAAGATCTGTGCTAGTTAGCAGTACATTTTAAGGCATTTGCACTGAGTTTTCAAATTCTATATGGCTTAAAACTGGCTATTTCAGAAACTGCTTTTTTGTTGTTAGAAACTTGTCTGACAACTAAGAACTACAGGATACGCCCTTTTGAAACTATTCCACTATTGGAGGCTTACCTATTTGGCAGAAAGAAAGGTCATTCTCTGAATAGCTCTCAGACTACAGTAAAACCTAATTTTTACAGACTCCCAAACAGTGTAAATGTATCCCTCAATGTACAACCACAATTTTTAAATATTCTCAGTTTTTGTCAGTGTTCTTGTTTTGGAAAATGGGATTGAGAATGAATTTTCAGTATCAAACTGTAATAGAAAATGTCACAAAGGTGCTTTTCAAAAGGCGACTGGACTTCCTTAGTTTTTTTCCTTGAAAACATTTTGTTTCTCATGCAAGGAGCTTTTTCGGTTCTCTTCAAAGAACTGAAGAAACTTCTTGGATGAAAAACAAAACATTTTCAAGAAAACTCTCCAAAAAGTCCAGTTGCACTTTTGGAATAACCATGACTTGGATGATTGAGAATCTCCATAGACATTTGCAATAGAAAATGTTCTTTTTTTGTGTAGTCCTATCACATAGCTAGAATCACTTCATTAGACTCCCTTATAATATAGATCAGAGTTTTAAAAAATGCTTTCTTAACTGTTGATTATATTGTATGTGATATGGTAGATACTTTTCACAATTGGGAAGGGCGGTCTAAAAACACCTTATTTTTAACTTGTGGACAAATACTTAATGATCATTTTTTTCAAACTGCATCTGCATAGTCAAAAAAGACTTTCATTTCAGCATTATAATAGAGTTTTCTATGTTGTTTTATTAAAATATTAATATAATCAGTATTAAATGTTCATTTTAAAATGAAGATGTTAATGTATCATATTACTTATTAATATTTTGAAAGAATACTAACATCACTGTAAGTACAACATATCCACATCTCAATTTTATTTCTTTGAACTTGCGTTGTATTGTCTGAATGTTTTAAATATTCATGCAGTTTGAAGTTTGTCAGCTATACCTATTCAGGTAGCATGTAATGAAAATAATCATTATGTATTCTAGCAATGAAGAAAATTGGATGTTTCCCTAAACAATTGCATGAAAAAGTGAAAGATATCAGAACTGAGTAAAATTCAGCAAGAGGAATTTATTGTTAAATATTGCTATGTAATAATCTACAGCACCTTGATCAATAATTGATACTAGGTTCATATGATGGTTAAGCAAGCTAAGAATGTGATAGAATTACAGAACTTAAGATTGAAACCAGTTTATTATTTGTTGTAATGCTAGATACAATGAAATGTCTATGGAGATTCTCAGTCATCCAGGTCATGGTTGTCCCAAAGGTGCTTTTTCAAGAGGCAACTGGACTTTCTGGTTTTTCTTTGAAGACATTTTGCTTCTCATCCAAGAAGCTTCTTCAGTTCAGTTGATCTGCATTTAAAAGTCAAAGGCTACTTTTGATGACACAAAGTCCACATTTTGGACAGAGGGGGCCACTGGTTTGAAAGAGGGGTCAAAGGGACCATATATGTCAAAATTGAACAGCCCTCTCTCAGCATAAGGGAAGGGATATGACATCATCTATCTCCAGACTACAACACAGACATCCTCGATCTCCAGTCTAAAGTACAACACAGTCCTTTCACAGTTCCAAGAAGGTTCCACACCCATTTGCACCACACAGGTGATCTTGAGGACACAGATAATCCTCCAGGTGGCCTCAACCACTCTGTAAAAGAATGCAAATGACCAGCTATCTGCAAGGAGTATAAATCCTTCCATTCCCCACCACCCGGTCTGAGCTGAAGAAGCTTCTTGGATGAGAAATGAAAGTCTTTAAAGAAAAAACAGAAAGTCCAGTTGCCTCTTGAAAAAGTGTTTATAACCTGCTGCTCCTCCAAATAGTTCAAGGTGGATTACATGGGACTCTCCTTAATGTTATCTCAGTAACCGTGTTATCAAATAGATTCAGTTGAATTAATAGCCTAAGTTATCCAAAGAGTTCCATGATTAAGGATTCAAACATGGTTTAATACTCTAACCATTAATCACCATTCTGATTCTAACATTTACCACAATATCTGTATTTGAAATCTGTTTTAATGCATTATGACATATTTCCTTACCTCAGGATTACGTAAGACTTATCTGTCTAATCAGAGTTGCCCAGTTGGGTGTGGAGGGATGAAAAGGGACAAATGATGAAAGCAATATCACTGTAGCATAATGCAAGTTTGACCTTTTTTATGTGTTGCATGCATTTTGCATATCATAAAGTGGGCAGTTTGTATCACAACAGCACTGTGCTACTTTTGTTATTTTGATGAAAGCATCAAAGCCTGCAGGAACTTCTTACTCTAGAAAACAATGGAAAGGAATATCTCATGTTGCACCATTTATACAAAGAGTAGTTGTATTGCTAGATTTAAATCAAATCTACTTGATTTAAAGTAGATGAGCTGTGTATGAGATGAGCCTTTTCATATCTACAGAATTCTGAAGGAACAGAAGAGATCTATATTGACTAAGCCAAGATTTTATGTCTCTAATTCCTAAGCGCTTAAAGAAGTTTTAAGGGACTGCTATCAAATAGATTTAGAATTTCCAAAATCCATTCAGATATGAAATATATTGATTATATCTTTGTGTTTTTCAGTGAGAGTAGCATGTTTGTCTCCAAGAGACGTTTCATTTTGAAGACATGTGGTACCACCCTCTTACTGCAGGCACTGGTTCCCCTGTTAGAGCTTGCTAGAGAGTACTGTGGGTTTGACTCCATTCAGGTAAGAAAAGAAAAGAAAAAAAGAAAACAATATTCTGAGAAGTCTTCCAAGTTGCTAAATATCAGTTATATTTTAAATAGTATATTAACTTGTTTTTTGTAAATGTTTACAAAATATATCAGTAGAAAATGCTGAGCATCTAATAGCAATTTATTATTATACAATATGTAAGAAATGTTTTTCAGATTAATTCCCTAATATTTCTGGGATTTTCATATCTCATTCATACTCTTGTCTTTCTTGCACTATGTATTAATCTTGTCTCCACTCTTGTATGGTCATCTGAAGGTTGCTGGAGATGCAACCTCTTTCAGTCATCAAAAGTTTATGCAGAAATACACTTAAACACCTTTCAGTGGAGTATCAATGTTTCTGGGATCTTGGATTGGCGAGTGTCTTAACACAAAGCCCACAAACATTCCTGCTTTTAGGATGACATACAGTACAAAATCAATATTGGTAATAAGTTTATTGGTGACAAATTATCAATTTGCCCAATATTTTTTGAAAGTTTTTAAACTTATTTTACCCCACTTCTGACTTATAAAATGCACTCCTCCACAGTATGACTTTTGACTAATATGTCTATCAAAGGTTATCTGAGATAGCTCATCTTCATAAAGATGAAGTGGAGATTCAGGTTTTTTGTTAGATTTGAGTTGGGGGCAACAAGAGGAGAAAGTAACGTTTTCTTGAAGATGCTGAATAAAAAGATACCATACTTGTAAGACATGAGATACCAACTTCTAAGTGGCAGCACAGGCTTAATCAGATAATCTATATTCATAGTAAAGATGAAATAAGGATCCTGCCTCAGATAGGCTGGCTTTAAATGATACCAGCTTAAGGTGGGGGATATTCAGCTGATGATATTGGAGGCTTCAGTATGAGGCTTGCAAAATGGTTAGGAGGAGAAGGAAAGATCTTAAGCTAATTGGCATATCTTTAACTAAAGTTCTTGATTCTCCTTTTCTATACTCCTCCTGAAACTTGCAAGCAAATGCTTTAAGAACATTGTTCATATTCTTAAGTACTTCCTGACTAAAAAAATCCAGTTGAAAAAATGCTGATATATATTCATTATGTTCTTAAATATCAATTCTGTTTTTCATTGTACAAATATGTCATGGACCAATCATTTTAAAGCTTTATAATCACAAAATAGATTATCCCTATTTGAAGGAAGAAAATATAAAAACTGTTGCTATTTCAGAGTTATTTACCATACAAATATGCATAACCATACCAGTCCTCTACCTTTTCTGGTTTTAAGTAAAATATAAATCACACTGATGTACCAAGCAGAACTTGTATTTTTGTCTCTTTAGCTTATTTGTAACACCAGGAATATTGGGGATGGGGAGTAATATGTGAGACTTCAGATAATCTTAAAAGCATAAGAGCATTGAAAGATAAAAATAGTATATAGTTGAAAAATTTTGTCCAGTTGAAAATAAATGTTATTCTAACGATGCCACTTTTTAAATACTTATACTCCATGCAGGTATCTTTTATATAGCAAATTATATTCTTTATGAATTTCTAAGAGATTACTGCATTCATATATCTAAGGACTAGCAGGGTACCCATACTTTACTATGAAACTATATGATCGGGCAAGTTTTGGGGGATGAAAATAACGGGAAAAATTGTGCCTCTGCCTACCAGCATCCATTGGTATTCATCTGGCTAGTGTCCTATCAGTGTGTGAGAGAGTTCAGGGCACTTTGGAAATTGAAATAGTATTTGCTGTGTGAGCAAGAAGGGGAGACAGCAAGAAGGGAAGCCTGGTTGTGGCTTAGCAGTTGGAACAGATTTTTTTTCAGGTGTGGAGGGAGAGAACAACTCCTTAGCATCAGAGCGTGTTAATAATAATATAGGAAATACTAATGTTCTGGATGTCATTTCGAAAAATCCTTTGTTAGTGAGCACCTAAAAGCCAAGAGGAACATACGTGCCAAATTTCAAGTTTGTAGGCTTTGCGGTTCTGGAGATTTTGTGATGATGCGTGAGTGGTATTTCGCTTTTATATATATATAGATACATGCATGTCTATATATGTATACAGTGGTAAAGCCTTATGTAGTAGATAATTTCTTTTTGTATAAGAATTAAATTGTGGAAAACATACTTATTTTATTTGAACTCTTGTTCCCCTCAGAGCTTCTTTTATTCACGTAAAAATTTCATGAAGCCTTCCCACCAAGAGTACCCACATAGGAATTTCCAGGAAGAAGTAGAGTTCCTTAATGAAATATTTCCAAGTAAGTAAATATATTAATATCTCTTCAATAAATATAAATGTAGTAATATCTCTTCAGTTTACAATATTGTAAATAAAATCTGGCTATTCAGAATGTTTATGTGTAGGAGACTGTTCAAATTAGTCATGATTTCATGGCTAAATGATTGAAAGATAATAAGTAAAAATAATAAAGCAGAAGGTTGCTCTATCAAGTACAGCATTTTATTTAACTTTTTCAAAACAATTATCCATGAAGAGTTTTACAACTGTTCTGCAACAGTGATGTAGTATTGTTGCTATAACTAGTTTATGATAGTAAGAATGAAAACGCCATTTCTAACTGAAGCTTGATTTAATACACAGTCAGACCTTGCTTTTGACATGATATATGTAATAGATGTATACGCTAATAGTTGTGTAGCATGCATTTTGTTGAAATACTGTAGATCCTTCTACCTAGTAATATAGAAAATGGTTGTTAAGTTAAAAAATAGAGGTGTGCATTATTTGGATCTGAAGTGGCAACAGGTGCTTTGGATCCAACATGAGCATGCTGTGTACCTGTTGGTTCCTTAAAGAAGCTGGGTTCACATAACTATTTACTTGAGTGTAAGAGGTAGTGACAGAGTGCATTGCCTGGTTAACTCAAAGACTGTTTTCATGGGATGTGTGGTGTGAAAGATTGAGCTCACCACCAAGACTGAGTAGACATTTCCCACCTGGGATTCCAGGTGCTATCTGAAAAGGAGTGTTAAAACAGACCTATCCCCTCTTTAATTGGAGAATGTTTCCTAAAACTAACCCAAAATGAGCATGGGTATGGGTGTGTCAAAGGAGTCAAATCAGGAAGACAGCAAGAGACTGGGAAAAAGAAACCAACAACCCAAAGGTAAGCACCTAAGCAACAGTGTCCAGACAGCAAAAGATAAAGTAATTATTGGAGCTGAAGGACCTGCTGAGAGAGGAGGGCGCCTGACCAGTGTCTACAAAACCAAGCAAGTCTGCAAACCAAAGTAAGCCCATTGTGTGCAGCAGCCCAGGTGCAGAGCACTTCAAACCAGTTCCAGAAACAGAGGGCTGGGAGGGAAAGAAAAGCCTGTTTGCAATCTACAGAGGAGTGAGAAGAAGTTCCCATGTGAATAGATTGGGATTGGCTACAAAAACTAAAAACCTGGGAAGAAAGGAAAGGTTTAAAGAGCTAAGAAAGAGTTAAAATGAGAAAACATAGTGCTCTAAACCATAAAGATTGAGCCACAAGCATGGACATTTTTAGATTAAATGAAAGAAATAGTTGTAAATGTAACTAATAGGAAGGCAGTTGAATAAGATAAGTAGGAAAATAGAAACAAGTATGGAATTAGCATTAAAGTAAAGAAGAGGATTTTTGTACAATAAAACAATTGTTTTAATGTACAAAATATTGTTCTGTACCATATTAAGAAAAACCCTAACATGGCTTCGGTATTTACTCAAGGAAAGGTATAACTTCTTTAAGGAACCACTGAGAGGCTGAGTAAATATACCTACACCAGACCCAAAGCACATTTCCTGCTTTAGAAGAAAATACTGTACAAGAAACTATGGGCTACTTATTATAATATAGTAACTATAGTAAATTACTTTGATACCGATAAGTATGGTATAGCTATAGTTTTTATTTCACAACATACTTTTTCTTCCAAGTGCACAATCCATTCCTTTTCTCTTTCCTCTTCTTGACAAAAAAGATGTAACAGTAAATATCTAAAGCCAGAAAACAATTCATTAAAAGCATTTATTTGTATTGTACAGTCTTCCACGATTTCTTTATGAGTTACAGGATGCTATATAGATCTGTATGTTCATATAATCAGATTTAATCCAGGAATTACGATATAAGAGAAAGTTTTTTTTATGTGACCACTTTTCATTTTATTTATCTGCCACAGATGGAGCAGCATACTGCATGGGCCGTATGAATTCTGACTGCTGGTAAGTTTGCTTCTATCGGTGTAACTTTTGGAGCAGTATAAATCTGTTACACCAGTTTAGAATGTTTTTTTCTGAAATGCATTTTTTAAAACAGGTATTTGTACACTCTGGATTTCCCAGAGAGTCGAGTAATCAATCAGCCAGATCAAACACTGGAAATTCTGATGAGCGAGCTTGATCCAGCAGTTATGGACCAGTTCTACATGAAAGATGGTGTTACTGCAAATGATGTCACTCGTGTAAGTCTTGAATTATGGAATTAAAATAGATTAAGTCTGTGAATAATCGAGCTTTTTGTCTGCACAGCCATTCATTTTCAGGCATTTCTAACAAGTCAGTTCTATGTATAGGTTCACGAAGATTTTGAGGTGGATCCCTTTCTAATCTAATCTTTGAATACCATATCCTTTAAGTAATGACTTTGTTGACTTGTTTATTGTTTTATATCTTTGTTGTGGTTATACCATCCATGTCACTTTTTATGAGATGGCTAGCTATATAAATTTGATCAATAAACAATCTTTTGGAAAGTTGATACAGATAGTCTTTGATTTACAACCATTTGTTTAGTGATCATTTGAAGTTCAACAGCATTGACAAAAGTGACTTCTGACTATTTTTCACATTTATGACCATTGCAGCATCTCTATGGTCACGTGAACATAATTAGGATGCTTGACAACTGGTTCGTATTTATGACGGTTGCAGTGTCCCAGAATCATGTGATTACCTTTTGTGACCTTTAGATAACCAAAGACAATGGGGAAGCCGGGTTCACTTAACAATCATGTTACTAATTTAACAACTGCAGCAAGAAAGATCATAAAATGAAGGCAAAACTCACTTAACAACTGTTTTATTTAACAACAGAAATTTTGGGCTCATTTGTGGTCTTAAGCCGAGGACTACCTATACGATCTGCCTCTTGGCTCCATAAAGATAGAGTTAGATAATCCAAATTTGAATATATTCCAAATTAGGAGTTCTTTCAGCATGCTAAAGTATTTTCTTGACTAATTCATGGCCTAAAACATAATTACGAGTTTTTTTGTGAGAGGGAGGGTAGCTTCAAGTCAACGTTGACTCTTAGCAATTGCCTAGAAGGGGTTTTCCATTCCTTCTCTTTCTATGAAAGAGTGCCTATCCTCGTCACTCAGCTGGCTTTGTGCCAAAGGCAAGACTAGAATTCCCAGGCTTCCAGTTTTTACTGATACTTTAATCATTACACAAAACTCTGTAAGTCATAGTTTAACCTAAAACTAAATAAAGCAATTGGATTAAAGCAGCGAATGGGTCTAATCTTCTAACTAAGCAGTGCTCTTATTTCAGCTCTACACTATCAAAGCTGGTATTTTTTTAAGCATTAGTTTCTAGTTCAGTTTGGTTTTTTTTAAAATCTAGTAAAATACAGAAGTATTGAATTCTCAATACTACAATTCTAACTATTCCAAAGCTGTAGCTCTGGGGCAATTAATCCTTCATGTCAGATGTTTAGTTACTTTTGTTTTGCTTTGAGAAGTGTTACATCTATAAATATAGAAAAGACCTTAGGTGGGATTTTATCACCTAGTTAACAGCTAGTTACTTTTTCTTACGTTTCTTTCACTTTACTACCATATACATATTATATAAACATGGTTTATGCAATTCAAAATTAACAAAATACAGTGTACTTCAAGGAAAACAGTGGTCAACGCTTAACTTGAGAATATTAGCTGGAACAATATTTAATGTTTCATTAAAGATTTAATAATGAAATATCTCTGACAAAAACAAAAAGTAGCAATAAAACCAAATAACATTTTTTTTAAAAGAGCAAAAAATGGTAAAACTGGGCAATAACAAAAAAAAATGGGCACACTATTCAGAAGGGCCTTCAACCACCTTAATAAAGAGCCAGGTCTTCATGACTCTGTAAAACAACAGTAAGGTTGGTCTCAGATGGGACCTCATTATCTGAGAGAAGAAAATGATTTGGATGAAAAATAACTGTGGTAGACATAATATGAATCCTCAGAAATAACATTCATCAGTATGAACCTTCTTTATTTTATAGGTGAGTGGAATTCGTGACCTGATACCAGGTTCTGTCATTGATGCTACAATGTTCAATCCTTGTGGGTATTCAATGAATGGGATGAAAACAGATGTGAGTATGATTTTTTTTTCCTCTAAATTCCATTGAGTATTTGCAGAAATAATGTAACTACATTAAAAATACTAATATAGATTATTTATTTTGCTCCTCTCCAGGGAACTTACTGGACTATTCACATCACTCCAGAACCAGAGTTCTCATATGTTAGTTTTGAAACAAACATAAGTCAAACATCCTACGATGACCTAACTAGGAAGGTCATTGACATTTTTAAGCCAGGAAAATTTGTGACAACTCTCTTTGTTAATCAGGTAAAATATCTTTTACTTTGTGAATATGGGACAGATCTTTTAGATATGCTTTTAAAAAAACTCATAAGTTACATAATTGAATAATTGTGTTTAGTTTGGGAATAGAAATCATAACCAGTGCCTATCCATATGGAAGTAAACAAATAACTGAATCTGTAATAATTAAGAAGGGGAATCACCCATCCTCCAATTGGCTAACTTCTTTATCAATTAAGGGAAAGTATTTGAATTTCATCATAACAGGATTAATTGGCATACGTTTCAATGGCTATTGCTATCTCTTTTAATGCAATTCTTATAAATTTATATGGTAAATGTTATGTGACTTCTAGAAATTCAGAAATGTAAAAGTTAGAGGCATATGTATTCTCAGTTATTGTACATATTCTTAAGATAGATGGTTTATGGAACTAGAACTGTTCTGTGGAATAGTAGGTTGCTTCCACCATAACCAGTTTCTCAGAAATCAACAATAGCTGCATAAACACTGAATTCTGGTGTAGTAGTAATTGCTGATTTTAAAGTTACTTAATGTAATTTTCTTATTTTGAATCATTCTTGTAAAACCATAAGTTGCTGATCTTCTTTATGCAACTGATTTGTGAAAGGGATCATCTCCGTTTTACATATCCAGAAGATTGCCGAATATAAATTTAATAAGTAGTCAAGTGCACATAACCTTATATTCTACTTGTTTATTAATCTGGTTGATCTATGTTTCTTGTATTTCTAACAAATATATTCTGTAGCTTTGGGAAGCCAGGAAACATGCTCAATTCTTATTGAGTTCTTAATAGGGTTAATCTGTTAGATACATTATTTTGTACTGGTTTTCCAGGGTTTCTATAATTCCTGAGTTTAGTTAAATCTAGTTAAATCTATATTAATGTCATTTTAAAGTTATTCCTTTCATCTTTCACCATTGTGAAAATAACAATTGCCCCTTTCAAATCGGTTTATTTGCTACTCTATTTTTTTCTTCTGCATAATTTTATCAATCTCAAAATTATCGTGAAACATTTCTCAGCTTATTCTCACACATTCATTCTCTTCTTCTCTTTCAAATAATTATTCCTACCAACTGTGGTTCTTGTCACTCAGCTCACAAACCTGAGTTCATATACATGTAGGACAGTACATGCTATAATAATGCTTAAAGCGCCAGAGCACACTTGTATAGCTGAAGATAGTTATTTCTACACATTGGAATATTTACAAAGCTGACTTTAAATGTTTGATTAGTTTTTTCCAAGATTTTAGTGCCTTTCCTTTCTTCTAGAGCTCAAAATGTCGCACCGTGTTTTCTTCAGCCCAGAAGATTGAAGGTTTTAAGCGTCTTGATCGCCAGATTGCCCAGTTTAATGACTACAACTTCGTTTTTACCAGTTTTGCCAAGAATAAGCAGCAAAGTTGATTAAGAGGAATGAAGAAGAAAAAACGCAAAAATATACCCAATAGAGGTGGTGGTGGTTGCTTTCTAGTAAATGATACAAGGGGCCATATTTTTCATATCCACCTCGTAGTTGCAGAAAGCCCTAGATGTAATCATAGTATAATTTTCAATTGTATGCATTATTATAACAGAGTTTTAGATATATTGCATGAACACTCTCTTCTGTGTTTAGATATTCTATTTCACTTTTGCTGTGAAACTGAAGCGCATGTAGAAACATTTTACTGTATGAGACTCTACAGCATTTATAAAAACAACTCAAATAGGTTTACATGCAACATAGTTTTTCTCCAAGTATCACCTAAAATTCCCCACAGACAAGGATTTCGTCCTCATTAGAATTTCCTCTAGATTTACTTAACTAAAAGACTTCATTGCCTAAACTTTTTTCATTTGTGTGCTGTAACAAATTTTAAAACAATTATTGAATGTGTCGTTTCTAATTGGCACATTTTGCAACAACTGAATGACAGATTAAACTCAAACTTTAAGATGTTGAAACTGATAGAACATTTAATGGGATATTTTCACTTAAAAATATTGAACAATTTTTATCACATTGGATCTGCATATAATTCCACAATGAATTGAAGTGGCAATTTGCTGTGGTTAGCACATTACCTTTTCATCTATGGGTGAGTGTATTTGCTGATTTGTCAACAAGTTACTTTTGACAGTTGTGTAATTTTTTGGCAAACCCATTCTTGCTCCTTTGTTTAAAGGCAACCCATAGCAATTGGTGGCAGTCGTTGGACATCTGTTTAAGTATATAAACAAAATGTTGACAATTAAGAACACAGTTGATTCCAGGCTTTTCACAGAGATCAGATGCAGTTTTGACATCTAGGAACTTAATCAGTTAGGAGATTGGTGCGCTTTATGGTAATTTTAACAGAGAAATTTGGTAGAAACGGTGAAATGTGATTTCAAATTACTGCACAAAATAGCTGCCATTTCTTACTGTGAAATATGCTGGCTCAAATGTAAACTTTATATTAATTCAAACATGGGCCCTTCCACTCTGCAATGTCCTGTGACAACAATGCATGTGATGATTAAGCTAAATTTAGCAATATTGTGACTTCATCTGTGTTTCTTCCTAATTAATATACAGTTCTTTTTTACATGGTGTAGAAGGCATTGGGTGATTTTGCTGCAGTAAGCAAATATGGGGAGCCTAAATACAGTCATGTGAAACATTTATATGTAGTACATTAGTAACAAAATAGACATGGATATTGCTTCATGGATATTAAATGCAAGTTCCTGAGAGAGTATGTTCAGTCACCTCAAATGCTGTGGGATTTCAGCTGTTGAGACCAGCAAGTCTTATAGATGTGTCATTCTAATCCTTGGCTATGTTTTTGATTATGAGTGTTTTGTTCCTTTTGTATTTATAAAGGAAACATTTTTAGTGTTTCTATGTTATTAAACCTGCTTGCTTGGAAATCAAGCAATTGGAACATTTTTTCATACCAAAATCAATAAATGTTGTTTCTGTGTAGCACCGAGCAGTTTATGGTGCTTTTGCTTTTTAAGGGCCAATTTTTCAAATTTTTTATAAAGAGTACTCCAAGTCAATAGCGCTCTTTGACTTGAGATCTGTTCAACTACAGATTCCTTGAAGTAATGCTGGAAATGCAGAATTTACACATAAGCCTTGGATAGAAATAAAGCAGTTCAATGGATCTTCGTGAATTAGTAGGCTGAACAAAATGGGAGGGGGATATGTTTGGTGTTTAAAATTATCTCTGGTGTTAGACATGGAACATTAAAATGTACAAAGATGCATCTGTACCAGAAATCATAATGCTTAAATAAAAGTTTGCTTTCTAAGCTGTTGCAAATAGTAAAAATGCTACTACCCTGACTTAGATAATTCTGCTTTGTATTTATAACAACAAAGCCTTGATATGAATTAACAGATGTTACCTGTATTTTCTCAGTAGTCCCTATGTGCTATTGAATGCCAGGGTGATTCAAGAAGATTAAATCTACTGGAAATGTTACTCTTGTTAATCAAACTAGAACTCTGTTTCTATTCAATGAAAAAGCATGATGATTAAGAATGAAAGCTGATATTAAAGATCTTTAAAAGTATATCAAATTGTAATACTGTATAATCAATATTAGAAAATTGTAAAGCTTCATGATATTTTACTACCCTCTTTAATTTTAAAGACTGGTTTACTGTTCAGAGATGAAAATTTCTGAAATCTTCAAAGCTGAATTTATAGATACACCCGTATGTTGTAGCAAAGTCTTATGTGTTTTACTGCTTATTTTTTTATTTACCATAACATTTTAATTTGGATTAGTCTATATTTGACTTTGCCCCATGTATAAATTTCTGTTTAACAAATCTTACAGGCTATTCCAATCAGTACTCTGTGGTATATAATACATTTGCTAATACGTTGCCCTCATGGCTTCTACTGTAGATTAATGCTCAGGTTTGCAATTGGTCTCTGAAATATAAGTACAAACTTCAAAATCCATAAATTTTCATGTAATTGGACTCCATTGGAAGTCAGTAATTAAGGACATCAAGAGAGGGTTTTAAAAACACATCAAGTAGGAAACAAAATTCAATGAGACACAGACCAAGGTTGGTGAGGGAGTTTTCCAAATCCACCATTGACCCATCACTCCCCATCCATCTCGAGGCACATGTTCCTACCCATTCATCAGCTGTGAGGCATACCAGATGGGGATACAGGTATGAGATTTATATGGGTAGCAAAAGAAATAACGCATGATTTAAAAAATACAGTAGTAGTGCAAAAAGCTTTGCTTTATTAAAGATAGTATATATCAGTAGGTCCTTATTTTTAGATCTTGTCACCAGTTGATAATGGAACCATATATAATTGACAGAGACCTGATTATTTACTGTGAAGTAAATTTCTTGGATAACTCAGAAAAGTATAAATATTACCTATGACTTTGCTCTGGCAGTGTTCTAATATACTGATTGAAAACGTAAAAAAATTCTGATTATTCTTTCTTCAGTATTGCTTCCCCATCTGAGGAAATTTCAGGGACTGAATTTCTGCCTTTTAACTTTGGTTAATTACTGACTTTCACAATCTGTGAAGCAGCTAAATTTATTCCCACAAATTTGTCTGACTTTATTAGCTCCATTTTCTAGTCCAGACATGGTGGACTAAGATAAAATGTGGTTGGGTAATCTTTAGTTCAATATTTCGTATGAGTCTAATCAAAATATAATTGCCAGGACCAGAATTGCACAAACTAGATTAAAGTGTTCATTATAGTAGTCCTTGGCATACAATAAGTGGAACATGCCCATTACAGTCGTATATCATGATGGTTGTAAAAAAGGGTCATGTGATTTTTACAGGGTTTTTTTGTGGCAATTGTTAAAGCAAATGTGGCAGTGGTAAAACAAGTGAATCCATTGTTTATTATAGTGAGATTTTGCTGAGAACAGTCACATGACCACAGGATGTTAATAGTGGCCATAAAGTGGCTATGTTGGTAAGAGCCTCTTGAAGTGTGGTCATGTGATTGCAGGAGTGGTGGGGAACTGACCATCCAAATTTCAAAACCAGATTGTAGGTTCTGTTTTCCAGATAGGTTATAACTTTGGTCATTAAAGGACCAGCTATAAATCAAGGACTACCTGCATATGGTTCATTATGTTGTGGCAAATCATAATATGATGGCTGATGTATCTACAAAATCTGACTTCAAAACCAAGGAGATTTTTTTTTTTTTAAATGACAATTTAAAATGCTTAAGTTCATCTATTAGGCCATATATATAAACTTAGACATGATAAGACAGACCAAATAAAAGCATATATAATAAATTGGATGCAAAACTTAAAACAACAGGAAGAATTGTGGAACAAATCAATAACATTTACAAACTGCTTTAGAGAGAACATATAAAATGTTTTATAGGTGATATTCAACCCTGTCAATAATTGTTAACAGACAACTCATAGTAATAAATGCTGGAACTATCATGCAACAGAAGGAACACCCAAAAGTATTGAAAATTGAAAAAATATACACAACACAGTTCAGAGAATCTTAAGGAACAAACAAGGAAATCACTTTTTTCCTGTGTTAAATATAAATTCAGAACATAATAAAAACATTTTTACTATTTCAAGTTTTCACCAATTTTTCATTACTGGCACATAATTTTTACAGAAGTTGCAATGAATCATTTTGATGACTGCAGCCTTCCATCCTGGGTAAAATGAGGACTCAGATTGTTAATGGCAATATCTGACTGTTAAACCACTTAGTGCTGTAAAGCTATATAAAATGGCATGTGAATCTTAAGTGCTATTGCTATTGTTCATAATCAATTTGTGCAATCTTGCACAAGCTAAGTATATATGACATACTTCTGCCTTTGCACAACCTGCAATTTGAATAATTTGGTGGGTTTTTTTTCTTCAATTCTGGCCTTGGCTGCATTGGTTTAGATAATTTGCTTTTGCACAACCAGAATCAAACTTCCAGTTTCTCTTTAATGTTCCAATTATAAGCCATTGCTAGGTTTTATCTTTATCCACTTTCCCCTTGATCTTTTGTAGAAATTGACCATATTGCTTTTCCTTCCCTGCAATCTGTTCTTTTTTGTGTTACATTATTTTGATATTCATGTTTTGTTTTCTGCACATTCAGTAAGTTTTAATTTTTAATTTACATCAGTGCTTATCCTTGGCTTTTACATAATCAGCCAAGGCATGCTTTTTTCTTCAGCAGTTTGACCTGAAATAAACTTTTGCCTCCATTTCCACAGGGCAGGTATAATCCACATCACAGTGGAGATGTAACACATGGTTAATACTCATTAGCTATTTCTGTCCCAATTGTCCAGCTCAGCTTATTTCCAGTTAATAATTCTAGCAATACATGGTATCACAAGTATGGTCCAGGTTTGATAGTTTTTATCTTAAAATTTTATTTTTAAAAATAAAATATCAAGCCAATCGCTTTGTTGTAGAAAGTATCAGCTACACAACTGCAATAGTATTTCTCGTCCCTAGTGATGCTGACGGGCAGAGAGATATTCTTACAACAAATCACTGATAAAGCAGACGAAACTGATTTACAAAGTGGTTTTGCATAAATAAAATGATAGGATGTGGAACAACAAAGTATAAATCACAGGACAAAGTTAGAGGGAAGTAGTTTTTTTTTCCAGATCCTTAACCACCCTTCTCTAAAAATTAAAATCTGGGAGGCTGCTTCTGATTGATGGATTAAGTGCCACAAAAATCATCCTCGACTCTTAATGGCCATCGAAATTGATGTTCTCCCATCATCTGTCCTTAGCCTAGTCCTCCAGCTATTCGTTGCTACTGTAACTGAGTCCATCCACCTTGCTGCTTGGTCGTCTTTTTCTTCTTCCCTCCACCTTTCCCAGCAATATCGTCTTTTCTTATCTACACTGAGAGCATATGCACCAAAGACAAATTCATTATGTGTCCAATCACCCTTGGCCAATAAAGATTTCCATTCTATTCTATTCTATTCTCCAGAGAGCTGACTCACACCATCTGTCCGTTACTAGGATAATGTAAGCCTGATTCACTTCTATTTCGGAAGAAAATTGTGGGCTAAGAATTTCGCTTCTACCGAATGCCAGAAGAGGGAAAAGCCATGTTTGAAGGCGGACGAGACCGCTTCGGGCTACTCTACGCACTAGAGCGCTTAATCCACCGTTTCCCCAACCAGACTTAAGTCGTGAACAAGCCCCGGTAAAACCAGGCTGCTGAGCTCGACGTTCACGCCACAACCCACCACACAAAACTGCCCCCTCCGACCGCCTGGCGGCGCTTCTGCCTCAGAAAACGCGAGAGGTTTCAGCTTGAGATGGCGGCGGGAGCGTCACGTGAAGCCGGCGGAGGCCCTGGTAGCATGGAGGCGGCGGCGGCGGATGGGACTCAGCAAGAGGAAGAGGTCGAGGTGGGTTGCAAGATGCCTCAGAAGGGCGACCGTCGGGGAAGGGGGGCTTTCTCTCCTTCGGGTTTGCTGACTCTTGATGATGTCGCGGGGCATTTCCCTGCAACCAATGTACCAATGTAATGTACCAACACAGGAGAATATTTGTGGAATATTTGAAATGAGGTGCTCGTTGAGTTCGATGATTTTCTTGCAGACGTTTCATCATCCAAACTAGGTAGCATCAAGGCTACGATGTTACCTAGTTTGGGTAATGAAAAATCTGCCAAGAAGCAAAGAGAGCACCAAGGACCCTTAGCTTTTCAATGTGTTATGCTGCATTAATGGCACACAACGCGTGCAGCAAAATAAGAGCGCTCGCCAGCCCGTTTATAGGCTGGCTTGCATTTACAAAAGAAGGAAGGAAGAGAGAGAGAGAAAAAGAGGAAGAGGAAGGATCTTCGGCCTGTTCCTTACTAACGTGAATATAATTACCTCGGTGTAAGCCCCATTTCACCCGTAAGGAGGCTCTGAGGGAGCGCTGCTGCGTATCGTCCCTGTTTTGAGCCGTCTCGGGCAGTTGAAGTACTCCAGCTTTTCTCAATTTGCAGTCCTCCAGATGTTTTAGACCTTGGTTCCCATAAGCTTTATTAGCAACACTGCCGGTTGGGCTTTGAAAACGTGGCATCTGTCCGTGTTTAGAGAACAGCCGGTTGATTTATGAGCGCTGCTCTCTGGGAACTGAATCCTTTTCTATAGCTTGGAAGGAATCTGGATCTGATGAGAGCTTAGCCCTTTTCCCTTTGAGAAAATGGGAGGGGGAAACACTTTAATTAGGATTATAAATATCATTTCATTTGTATTTTATTTCATTAAATGGGGAAAAACTGAAGGAGAGAATAGTATGTAAGTCAAGGCTCCTGGAGGAAAAAGGTGATATAAAGATTATATTGATTGTGTACTATCGAGTTGTTTGGGGCTCCTAATAACCAAATAGATCGGGGATCCCCAACCCCTGGGTTGCGGCCCACTACCAGGTCATGGCCTTTTTGAAACCGAGCTGTACGAGAGATGGGCTGGTGTGCATGTGCTCATGCATCTCTAGTGTGAGTAGCGGGCCAACGTGTGCACGCCAGCATGCGCACACCATTTGCACAAGTGGAGCTGTGCGTATGCACCTGGTCCACCACCCACTTGGCCTGGTTTCCCTCTTTCCCCCACCCCAAGCCAGGCTGCCAAACCACAAAGCTTATGGATTGGTGATATAGATTTTCTCCATGACAAACAGGAATCCAACAAATGAATAAATTATTTTTTACTGTAAGTCATGTGGGAGCTTCCTGTTCTGTAGCTATGGGTTTTATTTTATATTATTTTAAGTTTTCTGCTGTTTTCCAGGAATCTGGAACTAGCATGCATGGCTTCCAGGGTAGTATCATTCTGTAAACCTAATGGGAAGAATTTCTTCTAAAGCACTTTTATTTTTTCTTTAGTTGGTAACTTAACATATTTACTACCCTTATCGCAGTTTTTGAACAAAATAGAAAGAAGTGGCTTTGATCGCCAAATGAAGAGAACTGCCTTTCTGAATTGCAGGTGTAATCTTTTTAATGGTGCAATGTAGAATGACAGAACATCATTCTATATTCCAATGAATTAATGTAAGTTTGCCTTGTATGTGTTAACTATTAAGATAAGTGAAGCACTATATAGAAGCAGGATAGAAAATCAGCAATTCTGGGGGCAGGGGGGAGGCTGGATTTGAAATACCATGGTTACTTATTTTTCTACTAGATTTTTACCCCACTAAAGACAGCTTACATGGTGGCATACATTACTTTGTACTTTACAGTGACCAAGAAGAAAACAGAACGTGGATCTCTCTGGTGCTAATTCCCATACTATATTAGCTCATTTGATTCTTTAGTGATAAGGGCAAGCCAATATCAGAGGACGACACAAATAAATTCCACAGAATTTTACATTTGGGTGAAATGATTGGATGGCTGCTTTTTCATAGTGTCACAGTCATGCTTAAATACCCATATTGCAACAATGCCTCTGATAATGTATATTTGCAAAGGGGTATATATGCCATTGAACTGTTAAATACATTATTTGAAATGTTTTGTAATTTTCCTCTAGGAACAATTAGTTGTGGTAGAATTGTCTGGAATAATCGATTCAGACTTTCTGGAAAAATGTGATAATAAATGCAAGATTTTGGTGAGTGTTTTTAACATAGTATAAATTAATATATCTTCTTATTAAAAAGTACAATTGTGATTGCATTCAAAATCTTTTAAAATGGCAGTAGTTTAATTTGTTTAACAGAGTGGGCACAAGCGTGATCTTTTACTTAGTCTTTTTTGCTTTTTACAACAAACATTCATTGCAACAGGACACATACTTCCATTCCTTACAACAGACCACATCTTAAAATCTCTCCATACATTTTCCTGTGCTTAATCAGCATTCTACTGAGTACAGAAATACACTGTCTTATTCTAGATTTTTCCACTGTTATATACAACTTGTAGTTATTCGTGCTAATTTCCTCATGAAACAGAACCATCTTGGTCTTAGATACATTGATTTCCAGATCCATATTCCTTACTACAAGTTGTCTAATATGTGCTGCAAAACATTTTAGCTGTCAGCCAACAAATCAAAATCATTTGTATGCAAAAGTATATATTCAGTATGTTCACCAACCAGCATACGTCTAATATAACCACAAGTATTCTTTATACATTTATTCATATTGCACAATCAAAAGAACATCATGTATTTTGGCCCTACTCTCTGTTTTAAGGTTTACTAAGTACTAAGGGAACATCATGTATCTTGGCCCTACTTTCTGTTTTATGATTTACTAAGTATTCTCTTTATTGTCGCGGGTGCTTTATTTCCTTTATATGCCATTGTTATTGCATTTAGCAAACAACCCTGCTAAGCTGAAGCATTCCATAATTGAAACCTGTTTATCATTGGTTTTCTATATTAAAATATACAGCATTTTTCTGCTATTTGTAGATTTCTTGGTGCCTTACAGAAGAACAAAATGCTTTGCTCTGCTTATTTCCTGTTTGCTAAACTCTTAGCTTATTGTCATCTCTTGTACCCTTTCCATCCAAATTTGACACAATTTTCCCCAAGTAAAAACTAGTTAGGTATGGTAAATTTTGGTTAGTAATACTAAAGACACAACAAACAGCGCATTTTATCCAAGCTTGCTCATTCTAGAAAGCATATTCAGGGTACTGTTGTGAATACTCATGATGTCTGGGTATTCCTGCTCATTACAAATGGCAGTGATAAATGTCTGTCTATGCACAAACATTTTGTAATGACATGTCAATTTTCTCAATTTTAGAGATATTACCCGGCTTAGATCATGCTTTGAACTCACTGACTTCCTTTCTCCCAAATGTGCTTCTGTCTTTATGTTTTTAGGGGATTGACACAGAGAGACCTATTTTGCAAATAGACAGATATATCTTTGCTGGAGAATATGAAGGTAAGAAAAGTAATGAATAGCCTATTTTATAAGCTATAATGTAAAGTAACATGAACCTTAAGAACCATCTTACTTTCTTTTTGTCTTCTTTGTAATTTTTTTCTATAGAAACAGAGGGAACCTTCATTTTCTAGTCAATAAATGGATCAAAAATTAACTTACAGTTTAAAATCAGTTATTGCCTCGATTATGTAAAAAATCCTGATTGAGTGACCAAATTTAAAAATAAATCAAGGAAAAGCATGCAATTCTGTGGATAGTGAGGTTAAGCTTAATACTAGCCACATTTATAATTAGCCCTTATTTTTAAATGTGCTCCACATAGGAGACTATTTGAGCCCAAATTGGGACGATATTTATTAGGGCTACAACTGGAAGATACATAAGCTTCCTATCTAAAAACCAAACTTGTTTCTGTTCACACTCGGAGGTAGAATATGTCTCACATATACTATTAATTAGCCTCGGTGGCGCAGTACTGCAAGCTACTCCCACTATAATTTGGTAGATCGAATCCCACCAGGCTCAAGGTTGACTCAGCTTCTATCCTTCCGAGGTGGGTAAAATGAGGACCCAAATTGTTGGGGGCAAGAGGTTGACTGTAAACCGCTTTGAGAGGGTGTAAAGCACTATAAAGCTGTATATATGTCTAAGTGCTATTGCTACTGCTATTAAAATGTCCAGGATTAAACTTAACTTTCTTCCCCTCTATGCTAGCACACCACTTAGATACTGCACTATATACAAGCCTATTGTGTTTGATCTTGGGCTGTAAATAAAATTTGAATTTATGCATGCAATCTTCTAATTCTTTCATAGAATTGAGCAAATATTACTCTTTAAAATAAATTTATATTTTCCCTTAGCAATCTGTTTACTCTTATCCTCAGATACCCTTGGAACATGTGTAGTGTTTGAGGAAAACCATGATCATGGTAAGCAGTAGTTTTATTTTAATTTTTCAGAATCTAAAATAAAGTTGTTGTTTTTTGTAAAAATGAGAAACATTCTGCTTTTTTTCTTGATAGATGTGGAAGGCAATCAAAAATTGCAACTAAAATATAAATGCCACACAATGAAGAAACTAAATATGACGCGGACACTTCTGATTGAGAAAAAGGAAGGGGAAGAGAACATAGGTGATTTTCAAATTCTAAAAATTCATCCTTTTTTTCTAAAACTGCATTTTTTTCTTTCCTCTGTCTAAAATACTCTTTAGGTATATACACAAGATCCCTTAATATCATGTATTGCTTTTTTGCTCTTTTCTGTCCAGGTTTTATATACTCTAATTAGGTTCACGGATAGTTTAAATATTATATTGCAGAATACAATGTTATAAACCATAGCAACATAACAATATTGCTTGTCTAACATCGTAAGCCAATTTGAGCTTTTATGAAATTGCAGCTCAGCAACTCTTCCTGTTATCCTAATGAGATCTTAACCAATTGATCATAATATCCTAAACTATAAATATTTATAAATTAATTACTAAAAATGTTCAGGATTGTTTATGTTCCCACTCCTTAATTGATAGAATCAATTTGAGAAAAAAACAGTGTATGTTCTGTTTGATGTCAGAATAATAATCTTGCAGGTCAGGAAAGGGCAAGAGTCCCATCTACCTTCATTTATCCTTTCTAACATTACCTGCCAGATCTTTTGCAGATTAACCCAAATCTGCCATTACTGGAGTTCAAATCAAGGTTGCCCATCATAAGAAGGACCTGTTACTGAAAATTCATGTGATACAAATATTTCCATTTAATGTTGTATTTCGCTTAGATTTAGAAACCTTAAATTTGGAAGTGGTGTTTTTTCTCACGTTTTGTTGTAGTAGCTCACCAGAGCAGCTATGCAATATGCATTTTTGTAATACAGAATTATCTCAACATGAATCTTTTTAATCACAAGTAACGGCCAAATAATCTTTGAATTTTGCTGTGCAGCATTCTCAGTATGAACATCATTTACAGAGTGATATCATTTCTGGGAAACCAGAAAAGAGGGGAGAAGAGAAGAGCAAGATATGAATAAGGGACGAAACAGAATCTTCAATAAAATGTCATTTGTTTGTTTATTTTCTTCTTACTAACTCCTTCCTGTCTCTTTCCCCTCCTTTTAATTTGGCAGGAGGCGGCATAGAATGGCTAGATCTTAAGGACAAAGACTTCTCATATAGCAGACCAAACATGATTTGCAATTTCTTGTATGAAAAAGATGATGAAACAGCTGAATCCCAGGATAAGCTGGCAGAAGAGTCTGAAGAAGAAGCCAGTGACAAAGGAAACATGGATTGGAATTTGGAACCCGGGATTCCACCTGACATTGCAAAGGATGATGCTGAACCTCTTCTGGATACTCCAGATCCCATCATAGAGAATCCTTCCATAGAGAACAGTCAGAACATTGCTTCAGAAGAGCCTCCACATTGATATACAGCTGTGCTCATAAGTTTACATACCCTGACAGAATTTATGATTTTTTGGCCATTTTTCAGAGAATATGAATGATAACACAAAAATGTTTCTTTCGCTCATGGTTAGTGGTTGGCTGAAGCCATTTATTATCAACCGACTGTGTTTACTCTTTTTAAATCATAATGACAGCAGAAACTACCAAGTGACCCTGATCAAAAGTTTACATACCCCAATTCTTAATACGGTGTGTTGCCCCCTTTAACATCATTGTAATCTTTTGTGGTGTGTGTGGGTGAGGCTCGTTATCTTCTCAGATGGTAAAGCACCCATTCCTGGCCAAAAGCTTCCAGTTCCTGTAAATTCTTGGGCTATCTTGCATGAACTGCATGTTTGAGATCTCCCCAGAGTGGGTCAATCAGGAGACTGAGATGGCCACTCCAGAACCTTCACTGTATTCTGCTGTAGCCAATGACAGGTCGACTTGGCCTTGTGTTTAGGATCATTGTCATGTTGGAATGTCCAAGTATGTCCCATGTGCAGCTTCCGGGCTGATGAATGCAAATTTTCCTCCAGTATCTTTTGATAATGTACTGCATTCGTCTTGCCATCAGTTCTGACCAAATTTCCTGTGCCTTTGTAGCTCACACATCCCCAAAACATCAGTGATCCATCTCCGTGTTTCACAGTAGGAATGGTGTACTTTTCATCATAGGCCTTGTTGACTCTTCTCCAAATGTAGCATTTATGGTTGTGGCCAAAAAGCTCAATTTTGGTCTCATCACTCCAAATGACTTTGTACCAGCAGGTTTGAAGCTTGTCTCTGTGCTGTTTGGCAGTGGGATACTTTGTGGCATTTGCATAGCAATGGCTTTCTTCTGGCAACTCAACCATGCAGCCCATCTTTCTTCCAGTGCCTCCTTATTGTGCATCTTGAAACAGCCACACCACATGGTTTTAGAGAGTCCTGTATTTCACCTGAAGTTATTTGTGGGTTTTTCTTTGCATCCCAAACAATTTTCCTGGCAGTTGTGGCTGAAATTTTAGTTAGTCTACCTGACTCTGGTTTGGTTTCAACAGAACCCCTCATTTTCCACTTCTTGTTAAACACTTTGAACACTGCTGATTGGCATTCTCAATTCCTTGGATATCTTTTCATATCCCTTTCCTGTTTTATACAGTTCAACTACCTTTTCCTGCAGATGCTTTGACAATTCTTTTGCTTTCCCCATGAATCAGAAGTCAGAAACATCAGTGCAGCACTGGACAAAAGATGCAAGGGCCTGTCAGGAGTCCAGGAGCACACTCATTACAAGCAAACAGATCACAGGTGAGGATACCTTTAATAGCCGTTCAAACCCCTTTGTGCCAACCTGTATGTGTATGTGTTATCAGGCCAAAATCACCAGAGTATGTAAACTTGGGTCATTTGGGTAGTTTCTGTTGTCGTTATGATTTAAAAAGAGTAAACACATTTGATTGATAATAAATGGCTTCAGTCATACACTAACCATGAGTGAAAGAAAAGTTTATGTGTTCTCTGAAAAATGGCCAAGAAATCATAAATTCTGCCAGGGTATGTAAACTTATGAGCACAACTGTAAGCTGATTGAGCAGCAATCACTATATATTGACTGATATCTGATTTGTACATATTATCATTAGAAAGACTCTGAATTTGTATCCAAATTATTTTGGGAAAGTTTTGTTAGGATCACATTCCTTTTGTGATGTTGATCTAATACATTTCCCAAGGTCTCTGTACCTCTTCGTCAAAGGAATTGGAAAGTGGAAAGAGGCTTCTGTTGAACTTATTTTGATTACAAATTCCCATCTCTTGCCTTCTCCCAGTTACTTCTTTTGCTTATTATCTTCTCTGGTGAAAAATTTTGGGGAACTCAAGTTTGTTTTCTATTCTGTAATTTTGATACAATAAAAGATGCAACTCTAATATGGACTTGGATTTTTCCTTTTGACCAATATAGCTTCCTTTGCTTTTTATAATGTAAAATCATTTATCACATTTTACAAACTGGCTAAAAAAAAATTATATATTTTCAAGCAGCAACCTCCTTGCATATATGTATAAACAGGAGCACAATGAACTGTTAATCCCTTCTGAAACTTAAGTGGAACGCCATGAATAAGACATTGCCCAAATAAAATTTGACCTAGAAGCAGGAGATAACACAGTACAAAAGCATGATTTCCTTGGCTCTTAATTTCTTGCTTCTAACGTAAGATTCAAATTGTGCATACAGGTACGCCTCCACTTACGACCACAATTGACCCCAAAATTTATGTTGCTAAGTGAAACATCAAGTGAGTTTTACCCCATTTTACGACCTTTCCTGCCCTCATTGTTAAGTGAACCATTGCAGTTGTTTATTTAGTAACATGGTTGTTAAGGGAATCTGGTTTCCCCATTGACTTTGCTTGTCAGGAGGCTGCAAAACGGGATCCCGTGCGCCCCCCCTCCCCAACTGCACTGGTCATAAATATGAACCGCTTGCCAAGCGTCTGAATTTTGATCGTGTGACCACAGGGATGCTGCAATGTTATAAGGGTGAAAAACGGTCATATGTCCCGTCTTTCGGTGCTCTTGTAACTTCGAACGGTCACTCAATGAACTGTGGTTAAGTCGAGGGCTGCCTGTAGTCTACTGAAATATATAGATATTATATATCTTGAAGATATATAACATCTTCAAGAACCACCGCTTCTCGGGGGTGGGGGGCGGCTCTTCATTTTCTATCTCTATATTCAAACCACGGCGGATATGATGTCACAACGTGATTTAAAAAAAAAAAACTCTTTCCGGTGGTCTCACTGTGTCTGGTCCACGTGGGTGCAGCTAGAGCTCCTGTACCGGGAACATGGAGGCTTTAGACCGTGTGGTGTAAGTACCGGGTTTTCAGCAACGGTCCGTTTTGAGTCCTTTTTGTTTGTTTGTTTCTTTGGGATTATGAAATGAGAAACATTTCTGAGCTCGCGGGGGGGGGTGGGGTTTTGGGGGTTTTGAAGGGTATAAGGCCCGCCTTTTATCAAGTTGGTGCGGGGGGGGGAAAAGCCGGTTTTAGGCTTGCGGTTAAGTTTGGCCTGAGATTTCACGCGGCATATCCCGAGCTCACGCCGCTTATCTTCGGTTGGTAGAAATCTGCTTGTAGCAAGCCTAACTAAATCAGTCTAAAACAGGTCCCTAAACTTGACAACTTTAAGACTTGTGGACTTCA